ATCAGTGCTTGCTGCTGGGGGGGCTTTTAAAGGTCCTTTTCAGAGCTCGTCAGTCCTAAAAACCGACCACCTGTCTTCTTCCCGGGGTCTGTTTGCATACAGAATGCCCTGGACTTATTTCCCCTCCAATAAATGCTGTCTTCTAAGGAGAAAAATCACTGCCGGTTAGGATGTTTGGCTTAAAAAGCGACCCTCCAATAGCAAATCAGAATGCGGGTCCTACAATAACACATCAAACTGGGGGGGGTGTCCTACAGAAATAACCCGACCGTAAAAAACCAGGTTGAGTGGGTTCGTGTCCTACTGAAACAACCCTACAGCAACAGATGTGTGTGTATAGTTTCATTCATTTTTTTACCCTTCCCCCTGACAATATTCAGCGGACTGTGCAGCTTCAGATAAATAAGCGTGCAGAGAGGCGTTTCGCAAGACTCTTTACAGTCACATGAAATCCTTAGATGTGATCAAATTAAACGTAACCACTTACATTCTTATCTCTCATCTTATCTCCTTCCCCCTGTGTTGTGCTGTACGCTAGCAGCAGTCTCATGATCTGTAATGGTTTGTGCTTTTCACGTCGGTCAGCTGCAGAGTTGCTGGCCTGACCGATGGGGCACGTGGGTTCCTTGCTGGAAAGGCAGCTGGTTTGCTTTGTAACTCAGCTGAGCAGGAGCTGTTAATACTACCGGAGCATAATAATACCTAATAATAATTAATATCTAGGCTTCCACAGTACATCAGCCATAGATCTTCAAGCGCCTCATTAGGGATATTAAGAAACATTATTCCCAGAGGGAAACTGAGGCACCACTTAACTTCCTAAATCTGGTGTGTCTGCTACTGAGGGGCACTGAGTGGCATTTTCTGATGTGTTCCCCAGTCTGTTTCTCCTTTTGGGGGAATTGGATGGAATTTGGTTTTCTCGCAATAGCAATCAGCAGAGAATCACAACTCCACAACCACTACAGGGGAGGTGGAAAGTTACCGAGGGCTTCATTAAACAGTGGAAACTTACCACTTTATTTCAGTATGGGCCAAATCCTGCTGCATCTGCCCAGGCAGCTGTATCAATGCACTGGGTGAAAAGGAAGGATTCCTCTCTCTTTCCTCTGAGAATTTGATAGTGATCCAGATTCATCTCCCCAGACTGGAACCTGCCCCTCCAGTTTTAATTCTAGGTCAGATCCAGGACTGGAAAAGGACCAATTGTCTCGCTTTAGTTAAAGATGTGAGTGAAATCTCGAGAGCAGTTTTTTTGAGCAAGATGGCAGAAAACTCACAAGAACACTCCTGATCCCACAATGCCATTCAAGGTGGCAAAAATCATCTCACAAGATTTTTAACCTCATCAGATCTGATCCCCTCAGCCTTGATTCCACCCTTTTCCTAAATCTAATCCTGCTGCTTCAGCAGCAGGGACACCACGAAGGGAAACCCATGGAGATCCAATGACAGAGAGAGGCTAAATCTCACTCTGGACGTTCTTCATTAATACAGAGGCCGGTAGGGTTAGGGGTGGCGGAAAGGAAGGTGGACAAGCAGGATCAAACAACTTCAAATGTTGTCTTCGGCTGTGAAACACAGTGATCGGCATCTGCAGAACCCCTTGGATTCCAACATGTTTCTGAACTGGCGCTGCTGGTCAAATGGACTTTCTGCAGGTGGCTTGCTTCTCACCCAAGAGCAGCCAGGTTCCTACCACGGGTCAGCAGAAGTCCTTGCTTGCATGCTGAAACAGAATGCGCTGCACAGGCCGAGCGCTGGTATAAATAGACACCAGATGGTGGAACAAGTGAATTTGACCTTTTAATCTTCACTAAATAGCTGTTTGTTCAGTTCACTTTCCGTCTTTGCCTTCCAGTTCTTTTCTATGTTTGCAGATACAGGCAGGAAATAAGATTTTAACCCCTAGCCCCACTGTGAGGTCTGCCAAACCAGCCTACCCCACCAGAGCATGTTCCTGTATCCTGCACCTTTGGGCTCAGAAAAGATCTCATAGCACTCTTTGCAAGAATTGAAATGTAAACCCAGGTGTCTGAGCCATTTCAAAATAGATAATTATTTTCAGACCCTTCAAAATTCTCATTCTGGTTCCAGTCTCCCTTGTTACCTCATCCTCCTCCCGCCAAACCATTGCTATAGTCTACTAAGCAGCTACCATATTCCACCCCAGAGTCAGCTGCACTTCAGTGGTGGGTGATGTGAACCCCTGGATGGTTTGCATATGCGTTCAAGTGCTTCGGGGAGCCTTCTGCTTTAAATTGGAGGTCATTATGCCAACTTCAACCCCAGTCTTGTGAAAATATGGAGTCCTCTTCAGAAGCATTATTCCACAGCTCTGTGGCCTTTTTATTAGGGTGCGCATTTTGACTTTACCTCAAGGCAGAGATAAAGAATTCTCACATTTCCCCTGGAACAATAACAGTAGGATGTTGCAAGTTGCATAGCCTGGTGTATGCTTCTTGCCTCAATAGTGAATTCTTTGCTGCATCTGCTCTGTGCTTTGCAACTGTATGTCACATTATGGAATTCTGGCCAGTCTGAATAAACACGTCTAGTGAGTGTGCCCCTCACTCGTTCTGGTGCCTGCTAGAATGTAATGGACTGAATTTGACTAACGTGCATATTGCTAAAATTAGACGTCTGTTCGCGTGGCTAGTCTGTGATAGGATAATATGTTGCAGAATGATTTAAGATAACTAGGAATGTCCTGCTTATATGGCATTGGTTCAAGACAGCCCCAGTGCACCAATTAGTCTTTCAGAAGAGACATAAATCCAAGCTCCTGACCGCATTTTGCTAATTAGGAGTGGCACTTTTCATAAGAATAGGGATACGCTGACTGCAGTGTGTCAGCCACATTTCCGTTTAGTTAATTACGTTCCAACTCCTCAATCTTGCTGCTCCCTGCAGTTGCAGTTGATTGTGGTATTCTTCACTTCACTCCCTTCGGTATTGTGTAGTGTTGCTGTTAAACAGCTCTCTCATTCCACCCCAGAGGTGGCTGCATTATCAGCAGTGACTGATCTCCACACACAGTCTGTGAAGTGCCTGGGGATCCTTGGGGATGAAAGTCATTTTGTACGTTATTTATATATGAACATTGCAAAGTGCATCAGATGCACCGTGTTGTGACAAGACCTCAGATCCACTGAATGTTGGGATGCAAGCGAGACGCCCGTCATGGCCACTGATTTACATGTGTGCATTGGTGAGTCTTACTAATTTTCTAAGCAAATGGCGCTTCTGCTCCTCCCATGCAAATCACTGGCCCAGGAAAGGCTGTGAGCATTGCGAGCTGTTTATTCCCCACTGAGGCAAAGAATTTGGTGCATTCCATACTACGGGATACTGTTCACTCTAGCTAGAGCTGAGACTGTTAAACTCACTGGTCTCAGCTGCTGGTGTAAATCTGTAGCAGCTCTGCGGACTTCAGAGCTGCCCTGGATTGGCACAGGTGTAAGAAAGGGCAAAATTCAGTCCTTATGTCTGAATCTAATCTAATTAAATAATTATGCTAAAGTCACTGAGGTGAGACCGCAAAGTGTAATTTGCCTGGGATGAGAGAAGCCACATTCTCTTTCTCAGTACTCATGCTGTTGTGCAATGATTGCATTTTTTTCTCATGAATATGATTCCGTGAGACGGTGCCAAACGGAGGAGGAATTTCAACGCGCCGATAAGATGTTTACATCAACCTAAACATTGCTGGAGCGTTTGACGTATTCAGTAACCTCTGCTTCGCCTGTTCGCCCAAGCAGAAGGAACTCCTGAGTGAATGCCTGGCAGCTTGCATAAGTGCTATAGGAACAAATCCCATTCACAAATAATAACACCGGAGTATAACGCCCACACACGGTTTGGACTAAAGTACCGCAGCGCTCAGGGCTTGCTGGAACGAACTCGGCTATTTCCTGCTGTGCTCGTACCGTACCTCTCTGAGCCAGGCGTGCTGACCACCCTTCAGGAGTGGAGAATGTGTTTAAAGATCACCTATTTGAAGTTGAGTGTAAAGGCCAGCAAATACTCCTCCATACGGTAGAGTGAAGACTTGGGGCCAGATCCTCAGCTAGTGAAAATTGGTGTTGCTCCATTAAAGTCAACAGAATTATATTGATTTTACTTCTGCTTTCCAGCCCCTCCCCCCTATGTTCATACTGCAGTCGTACATCCAATAATGTAGATTTTGTATCTTTAAAATGCTTGTAAAGTATGTGTCATGCCCCCTCTAGTGGCTGGTCCACATAGAAGTTAACAACCTGCTACTGCAGCTAGCTAAGAGAGTTCTTGATATACCTCAACTAGCAGAGGCCTGTAGTTTGGAGCTGAAGGCCCTTGGGTCAAACCCTGCTGACCACATAGATATGTGGGTGTTACATACACAGCACGGAGATGGAAAATATATAGTTAAAGTGGTTACATTGTGATTGGTTCCTGGCTTTAGAGGACTGGGGTTGGAAAATGAGGGCATGGTTCATGCTACAACTGAGGATGCACAAACACATCCCTCAGATCACTGACATCCTTCTCCTGAGCAGCTGCAGATGGCAGTGCGTTATTTGCAATACAGAGGATCAGCAGTGCTCCAAAAGGCAATACAGACATAGACTGAGATACACCTCGATCTAGGCCCAGGGATCTGATTTTTCCCCTGTCTTGCACCTTCGGTTGTAATTTAAACCAGTACAGAGCAGGTGTAAGAATTTTACGCCCACTCTGGGCTGGAGTAAACGACTGCCCAAGGCGCAGGGCAATGGAAAAGGTGGCCCATGGATCGTATTGAGGATGCTGTCTGCTAGGTGCCCACTTTAGACGCTGTAGGAGTGATCATGAAGGTTGGATTGCTTCATCCCTAGTGCCCAGGACTTAATAAAACCCTAAGTAGTGGTCCCTGCGAGAGAACAGAAAGTGGCAGACTTCAAGCTGTATACTTTGGACCCAGAAGTTTCCCCTCCGCAAGGTTTAACCCTCTGGTTGCCCGTCTGCCTTTCTCGTTTCAGAACCACATTCTGACCCTGATATCAGTGGCCGCTCGGATCTACCAGCACCCTAGCCTAAAGAACTCCGTCAGCTTGGTGGTGGTGAAGGTGCTGGTTGTGGAGGATGAGAAGGCCGGGCCGGAAGTGTCTGACAATGGAGGGCTCACGCTGCGCAACTTTTGTAACTGGCAACAGAGCTTCAACCCCGCTAGTGACCGTCACCCAGAGCACTACGACACTGCTGTCCTGCTGACTAGACAGGTCTGTAGTCTCAGCTGCTGAGAGACCAGAATCCATATGGGATTTACCTTGGGCATGGTCTGGAGCATAGAGGGAGATAAGGAGGGGGCAGAATTATACCCCTCCAGTCCAATACTCTAACAGTGCTAGGCGCTGTACATACACCTATTAAGAGATGGTCTCTTCTCCAAAGCTCTTATATTCTAAATAGAATGCAGACTGTTATTCCCATATCAGCGATGGGGAACTGAGACCCAGAGAGATGACATGACTTTGTCCGATCTAACCCCGGGGCACGGAGGCAGAGCAGGGAGTTTAAGCTAGATCTCCTGATTCCCACTCCAGTGCTTACCCATAAATCCGTCTTTCCCCTCCATGAAATATTTTCATTCTGGTCCATCGTCAGGTGCCCAGCAACGGCATCAGAACTTTAGAGAAAAGGAAGAGATGAAAACTGCTTGGAAACCCACTGACTCATAACCGTGAATTTCAGAAAACCAGCTGCTCGAGGAACCTCACTTAGTAGTCAGTTAATAGGCCACATCTTGTCTTACTTATTTTCATATCACAGAACCATGGGATTTATAGACAGCAACGATCTAGGAGTTCATTTTGTCTATGCCTCAAGCATGAGAGAGCTTGGTAGATCTGAGTCTAACGTGCAGTACCATCTCCTGGCACAAACATACAGACGTAGACAGTTCTTTCAGCAATCTACGTAGCAAGACACAGGTTAACATACGAGGAGAAGCTAGAAGTGGGAATAGACCCCAGGGAGTGGCATGCTAACGGAACGATCGATAGATCCCTGGTTAGCCATATACCTACAAATCCATACAGGCCATGAGTCCGTGGAATCACATGGGGACCCATGCTTTCTCTAACTATATTTCCTCTGGCTCCGTTTTCAAACACAGGACTTCTGTGGGCACCAGAGCTGCGACACTCTGGGCGTGGCTGACATTGGCACCATGTGCGACTCCAACAAAAGCTGCTCTGTGATTGAAGATGAGGGTCTCCAGGCTGCCTACACCCTGGCTCATGAACTAGGTAACTCCTTTTGTACGGCACGCACTGGAGGAATAGCCGCCGGACCACTGCGGCAGAATCCATGGCAGGGTCTTTATAGCTCCAGCATCTCGGCTCTGAAGTCTCTCTCAAGTCAGGGGGACTGGCAGGGGGCAGTTTAAACTGGAGGGCCAGATCCTCAACTGGTGTAAACTCACACAGCACCATTGTAAACTGGCGTAGCTCCATTGACTTCAATTATTATTATAAATGATGTTTATTATATTAGTGTCTAAGGGCCAATCAAGTTCAGGGCCCAGCTGTGACAGGTACTGCTCTGAGTGTAGACAGTCCCTGTCCCAAAGAGTTTATCAGCTCAATAGACCAGGCAGACCCAGGGTGGGGGCAGAGGTAATACGCCCAAACAGAATGAACAAGATGATGGCACCAAACGTCTTTTTTTTTCCCCCCCGCAGTCAAGCTATGCCAGTTTACACTAGCTGAGGATCTGGCCCAAGCACTCCAAACCCTTTTCTTTTTATTCACTGTGGTCCTTTGCGCCTGCTCAGACTGGTCTGTGTCCAACACGGGAGATCAGCTCCCACTGTGTAATTCAGATACAGTGGGGGGGAAAGATATCTTTGAGCTTTGTTCCTGAGTCTGGTTGGTCGCATTTTGCCACTTGGGATATGATGTTTGGCTCGATCGCGCCTGGGGGAGCAGGCACAAAAAATACAGGGGCACCTCTAAGTTAATGGACGGAGTTGCGGACAGTGGAGTCTCCACCTCGCGAGCAAGCACCTTATTGAACATCCGCTTCTTGTGGCGGCATCTGCTTTTGCCTGCACCTGGCTTACGCCTGTCCTAGGTGAGGTGCTCCCCATGGGCCCTCTGTGTTTGGGACTCTCCTGGAAGCCGACGGGGATTCCCCGTTCAAACCCGCGACAAGGCTGTCAGCCTGAGAAGGGCGGGAAGTGTCAGAGGCCGGGCGGGGTGTACTCAGAGAGGATGTAGGCTGGTGAGGATGGGAGGAGGGAGGAAGACAGCTTGCTAACATTCAGGTTCTCTCTTCTTCCAGGACACGTGCTCAGCATGCCCCATGACGACTCCAAGACCTGTGAGAGGCTCTTTGGGCCCCTGGGAAAACATCACATGATGGCTCCTTTCTTTGTCCACTTGAACAAGACCCTGCCCTGGTCCCCCTGCAGCGCCATGTACCTCACTGAGTTTCTGGACGGGGGACATGGTAGGAATCAATTCAGTTCCCACTGGATGGCTGGGGTTGTTCCACGGGAACCCAGACCAGCACAGGTCCTCCAGGGCCATATTTTCAAATGTATTTAGGCACCTAACCTGCTGTGGCACTTTTGAAAATCCCATTCGAGCCCACCTGTATCCTTAGGTGTCTATATGCCATTGACAATATGGCCCTATTGATATCCCTGCCTCCTGTTCAGCTGGGTGCACAGACTTCATCTCTAATTGCTCTTAGGTCGGTCCAAGCACCACGGCAAGTTGGAACACACAAGCTGGGAAAGGGAGGCAGTGGGCCCTGGCTGACGTCTTAAGCAGGCAAAGCCCGAATAGGTCAGAGGCCCCCAAGCGCCCATATCAGTCTTTTACCCACCTGCTTGGCCTATAAACTCTCCGTCACAGACACCGTGCACTGGAGCGTCCCCGCTGCACTTTCCTCGCTGCTCGTCTCTCTTTAACATCTCGCACCACAGGGGTTATGCTAGGGAAGCAGAGGTGCTGGGGCAGCTTCATGCAGCCAATAGCAGCTGAGGAATTGCTTCACTGGGGGATCCTGATGGCTTGGACGTGACGCCCACTGATCAGGGACAGCATAGGGATAATAAAGTCATCTCTGCCGGACAGCAAGAGAGAATGGAGCTGGCCCCTAGGACCCCAGGGCTATGCCTTAGGTGAATGGTAAACAACTTTATTTCACTCTGCTTTGCCCTGTTCACTGACCAGGTGACTGTCTGCTTGACGCGCCAGCCGAACCCATTGTCCTCCCCACAGACCTTCCAGGCCAACTCGCCATGTACGACCTGGACCGCCAGTGCCAGCAGATCTTCGGCAAGGAGTTCCGGCACTGCCCAAACACAACGGACGAGGACATCTGTGCACAGCTGTGGTGCAGAATGGACACCAGGGAGCCCCTATGTCACACCAAAAATGGCAGCTTGCCGTGGGCAGATGGTACGCCCTGTGGAGCGGGCAGGCTGTGCTGGGATGGCAGCTGCGTGGCACAAGATGCGAGGAAGCCCCAGGTAACAGAATGGCTGATGGGGAAAGAGATGATCTGTCTCAACCCGGGTGAAAGAACTATTCACCAACTATTCAGCGGGGCCCTCACCCATGATCTTCCTCTCCACCATCATCTTTAAAAAGCAGTTGAGCTTTAGGCGTTGCCCAGCCTTGAAGGCCATATTATCATTATTATGTGTATTGTGGTAGCATTAGGAGTCCAAATCATGGCCCACGACCCCACTGCGCTAGGTGCTATACAAACACAGAACAAAAAGTCAGCATCTGCCATAAACAGTTTGCCATCTAAGTAGAGTTAATACTTAGCACTTGCATACATGATTCCTCCTAAGAACCAGGGAAGTCTCATTAACCCCAGATGCGGAAACTGAGGCAGGGAGCCGACATGACTTCCCCAAGGCCACATGGCAATTCACTAGCAGAGATGGGATTAAAACCTTGAAGTCCTGACTCCCAGCCTTGTGCTCAGACCGCTAGACCCTACTTCCTCATTGCCTACATCCAAGGAGGGTGAACTCAAACACCAAGCAATTTCTGCCCGGGTCTCAAAGAAGAGACAAGATGAGCAAATACTCTGGGCGTGAGTGTTAACTGCTGATAGTGTCAATGGCCCCGATCCTGCAATCCAGTCTGCTAAAGTGGATCCCTGTGGATCAGGTTTATGCCAATTAGAATTGGGCTCCTAGATGGCTGCCAATTTATAAATGAAGCACCTCATGTTACAAAATTGGCAGGGGCTTGGGGGCAGTTCCCTTATCCTCGTCCATCCTAACCTGTATCCAGGAAGGGCCCATATCTTTTGATTTGCCTGGGGGTTTTTTGTGAATATCTCCTTTGATAGCATGTTACGCTGAGATATTTTTTATTTCAGCCCATGCTGGACAAGGCCAGCTCATAGATTAACTCTGCAGTGAATTTCATTATGGTTTGTGCTGGTCTGAACTAGACTGAGCAGATTGTCCTTGTGCCTTTGAGTCATTTTCTTTCCCCGCTGGGAACGTACATGGAAATCAACTACTTCTGAATCAGGGCCCAGTGCAGCCAAGTATTTAAACACGAGTTTAACTGTAAGCACGTGAATAGGTTCATTAAAGTTGATCGTGCTTAAAGATAAGCAGGTGCATAAGTGCTTTGATAGATCAGGGCCCCCAGTCAGCACTGTTAGGAAGCAACATATGGGGTCATTTTACTGGTGCTTTAGTCCTTTATTTGCCCTCCATATTTACATGACAGGATCAATGTCAGGATAAAAATCACGAGGCTGAGTCATAATTCACAACAGTTTTCCTCTGGTGTGATTCCTCTGGCCTTCGTGACCTTGCTACTGAGCACAGGGGCTACGAACTGAGGAGAGAACACCTCTCCTGTTGTGCCAAAGCATCGCAGCTTTACTCCTTTAACTGTGAGTTTCCTGTCCTTCGTGGGCTCCTGCTGCAATCATAGCGATCTTTTAATGTGCAAACAATCATATTTGTGTTACCCCCCC